TAAGCCAACCAATAAATTCTCCTGTTCAGACTTTTGATTGGTGCCTCCTGAAGTCAATAGGAGCCAAATAGAATTAGAGCAAAACTTTGTCTATGAGCACTTCCCTATTGGGCTCCATTGAGTAGTCTATGATTTAATCCAAACAATAAGTTCTCCTCTTCGGTCCCAAGATTGGTGCCTCTCGATTTGAGCCCACATATCCAATAATGAGATTGAGAAAGGTTGAGATCTCAATCTTTTAACCATTACATTTTTGGCATAGCCCTTCTCTGCAATATAAAAAAACATCACCAATAATTTATCTCAATTCAGCTTCTTGTTTACATCAAAGATTGATGGTACTATAAAGGAATGAACCAGCACAAACATGATGTCAATCTAAATGAATTGTCATAACACACACGCAGCAAAATGTTTAGTGGCGTTCGTCAAAGTATATGCGCTGTAAAAAAATATATTTTTTTAAATCTCCTGGTTTTCAGTTGCGTGTGTGTGAATCCAGCCCTGACCTCTCCTCTCTCTTCTGTTCAGCTCTTTGTCAAAACACATGAGACTCCTGTGAGACCGCCACATGGTGCCCATTAGCAACAAAACAGAAAAATCAAAGACATTTTAATTTTCACCACAAATAGGGAGAGATTCCTCCGGAGAAGATGCCAAGAAATTGTGACTTCTGTGCGAGGATTTACGATAGGGGCTTCCTTATTGCTCTCCATCACTACTGTCATTTCTCGAGCCAACATTTAGTCTAACACTTTGGAGATGAAACTGGGATCTCAATATGGAAAGACATACCGGACAACTTGGACTTGTTTGGGGCAGGTTTGGTGCTCTTGGATGGCTAAAACAGGTCATTAATGGATTGGTAGAGGCTGTGGTGTAGGGCTGGCAGCCAGAAGTTGGATGATTTTGTATCTGGTATGTTCATATATGGACTGAGAGTGCGTGAGGCTAAATTATCTGTCTCTGGTTCGTCCACATCAGCAGCGGTAGCAGGAAAACTGGCACGAGAAGCACAACAGAAGAAAAAGAGCAGTTTCCTTTGCCACTCAGCTGAAACTCTTTATTTCTGAAAGATTTGAGGCTCTATTCACCCTGACAGCAATAATTTACCGGTGGTAAAAGTTGCACAGAGGGGCCAAGTACACACTCCTACTGGTGCACTGCTTTCCTATATTAACATTGAATTCACATTGAAAGTTAAATAGCATAAGATTTCAGGTTAGACTTTCCATGCTCCGTTGCACAAAGGACGGATGGTTGGATTTGAACGGATTTTATATGTATGACAAATCAGTCGATAGCCTCAACTAAAATACACAAGCCTATTAGCATTATTAACTGTGGATTTAAAACCTGTGTAGAAGAGGTGTTTAATTTCACCCCCATTGTAGATTGCCATTTTTGTCTAAACAAGTCCATTGACAAACTTAAGGGCATTTTTTTCCATAGGATTTTCATAGAATAATCTTAAAGCAGCACTTTTTTCCGGCTGCTTCGTCAGTGATGATACAACCTTGGTCTTTCGGGGGGTTTTCAGTTTGAGTGGGGTCAAATGTCTTGCCCAGGGACACAACAACAGATGACATCAGTGACACGTAGGCTTACTCCAGTCAACTACTCCTGCTGCAAGGTGCTAGGTGACAAAGCAAGGTGCAAATTACTATTGAAGTGTTGGTATGTAAGTAAATTGGTCATCTTTATTTATACAGCACCTTTCACCGACTTTACAATTGGTATGGGCATTTTTCCTCTCGCTCCACGCAGTGATGGGAGCAGGGGCGCCATGCAGGAAGCTTGGCAGGCAGTCCTATTGTATATGTGGAGGCCGCATTTCAGATTCACGCGGCTAGAATCTGGAACAGTCTTCCTGAAGATGTGAGACAGGCTTCTTCTGTTTAGCTGTGCATACATCTTTTCTCTTTTCAATGTTCTGTGATTATACTATTTTTAATGCCTTGTGTGACTGTTTCTATCTTATACTGTTCCGCACTTTGAGTTGCCTTTGTATGAATTGGGTCATACAAATAAACTTCACTTGCCTTGCAGTTTCCTCTACCCCGTGTTAAAGGTAGAGGAAACTAGAGTACCAGGAAGTAACCTATGCTGGCACAGGGAGAATATACAGACTCCACACAGAAAGGCCTGATCTGGAAGTTGAATCCAACCCAGGACCTTCTAACCGCTACTTTCTACGCCACCGTGCGGATAAATATTATGCTTAGTTTCTTAGTGTTAAGAAAGATAAAGATGAGAATTACGCTCCAGGTTAAACAGTCCATTAGAAACCAAAATGTATTATATAACTAGAGCACACACACACAGGGCATATACAGTTTGCGTGATGAGATTACGTGTCCAAATTGGCAGAGTGCGCCTTCAATGCAACTCACTTAAAACAATTGTCCTCTTTCCTGTGCGTGCCTCCACTACACTGTCTTGTCCTTTGCAAATGGGGGTCACTTCAGGACCTACCAAACTGGAATCTAATCTCCTATATGCAAAGTTAAAACTAATTAATCCGAATTGGCCGCTAATTGTGTGGTAAATGTAACCCAAGAGAAGGGTCAAGTCCGATTCGCTTCCTGCTTCTCCTCCAAAACAAGGTCTTTTTGTTGTTCTTTTTTTTATAAAACAGTGCTGGGGGCGTTTCTGACTTATGCGCAGCTCCATTGTGGTCGCCGGAGGGAGATTACAGATTAGGAAAAGCAAATGGCCCATGGGAAAGTCACCCACCCTCTGCCCACCATCAGGGGCACACACAGAGAGAGAGGAGAAGAAGGCACTGGGATGGGCTGTCCCGACTGGTGGGAACGAAACAGTCCCATTTGAGGATATGGTGTTTGTGAACTGTCCTGTATAATAATGAGGAAGGCTAGGGAAGAATTTGAAAAGCTAAAGGCTACTTTTTCAATTCGAGGTGACGTCTCAAACAAAGAAAAGCAAGAATTAAGGTGCCCTCTGTACTGTTTGTAGTGGGGACTATGCCTGTCTGCTCCATTGAGATATAGCTGTGTTCGTGATAAGTTTGTGTTTCACTTTCTGGTCTGGAGGACTTGGTTTCACTTCAGAAGCAAACACAATAGTCCTCATGATGCCACTGATCTGTGTCAAAGCACGTTTGGTAACACCGGCAATTAGTGCACTTGTTTGGCGCTTGCAAATCTCCACAACCAAAGCTCAAAGTGCACTAGAGTCCAGTTCAATCGGACCATTTCTGGAGACACACGCAGACCTGACATGAACACTATAGCTTGCTTAGCCCAGTCGCGTTCCCATATCTCCAATGACATTTCAGGCATATACCGTAGCAATCCGATGGGCTGGGGCCAATTCAACTAAGACGTACATAGTTAATTTTGATTTTTAGATTAAAACACATTATGACATTAGATGGGACAAACCAGGTTAACGCCATGATTAGAATAAACAAGGTCTAAGTCAGGACTAAACATGATCCAGTTAAGACACACCAGTCACATTCCTGCTCGAGATCACTCCAAGTTTTGACAATGACACTTTACTACTGTTTCCACTCCACTCCCGTCCTAACAGTGCATTGGTGTGGACTCGGAAAGGCTACAACAGCAACACAGAGCTGTATTCTTTGAGCCGAGTTTTCATATGCAAATGATGGTTTAGTTACGGTATGCAACGCTTCCCATTTTCTAAGACTTTTTCCTCTGTTTTTTGTTGTTGTTGTCCGTGATTCATTCTCTTGGGAAACCGGCTGCAGCAGTAATGTGTGGCTTTGCTTAAATGCCATTATTGCAGATCCCTCAAAAGCCAGAGCATGTCTTTTATTAAAAACACCAACTCCAACCATGCATGTGCCAAAAAGCATCTTTTTCACTCTAATCATTTTAACCAGTGTGGCAGAGTCAAGGACGCTCAGCTGTGCAAGCCTATTACAGGTGCCATATCTTAGCCATACATCTTTGTCATCATTGCTTTTGTACATTTTCTAATTACTGCCCAGTCAATATATGAATAGTTACTTTGCAAAAACAAATAAGTGCCATTGGGAAAAGGTTTTAAAGGCTTACAATTGATTATACTTTAGTGCCATACAACTTAAGTTTCACATGTTCTTGAACAAATTCTTTCAAATGTACTGCCAATAAAAAAGTATTCAAGATTGTAGCTAAAGATATACAAGTGTTTGACCATTTTTCAAAACAAAGATATCTGTTTTTGCCAAAGTAACTCAGATAAATTAAGCTTTAGGATGTATTTAATGGTAAGGGTAACATTGCTGCATTATTGGGGTTTACAGGTGCTTCCAGTTTTTTTTTTTCAGGCCAGTATAATAAATGCAATTGTAAGTGGCCATTCAAATGTGTTCTAAAGTGTCTTCCATGTTGTGTTTTTGTTTTTTTCCATAGATGATACATTATTGATGGGGACGACCGAGGATTCAAAGGGAATTTGCCTTTCACAGCTGGAGTCTGCACTCTCCTTACCTCCAACAGCAAAACGCATTTAACAATAATACATTTGAGGAAGGAATGGTGATCTATAAGAAATGTCAAATTCAAACCAAATTGGAAAGTGCGCTTGCAGGTGCGCAAAATTAACATATGCCAACTTGGATAAGAAATGAAATACTGGAGCCAAAGGTGAAATGACAACATACATCACGCATGATAAGAGCAAAAAAGGAAACAAGATCCAAAGTACACAAAGTCAAGCGAGTTGAGACGGGATTGAAACGCATTTAAAACTTTCCAGAGTTTTTTTGTCGTTGCCAAAACCCGCAAAACCTCATCCTCTTCTTCCCATTTTGTAGAGGTTTATTTTGGGAAAAGATTCTAAGTCGATCCTCTCGCTGTGCATTTTACCATATAAGCTTAGAAAAGTTGCTCTATATGAGACAACGCCGTCTTTTATCCCTCATCCGAAGCCCACAGCGCTCCAAAATGTCACAAAAATGTCTTTACTGCCTTGGCGTTTACCCTTAACATTACAAAACATTATATAATTGACGTGCAAATGCTTACCTTGTATTCTGTGGATGTGCAGAAGGATGCAGCTTCCTTTTTGTTAAGGGATAAACAAAAAAAACACTTCAAAATCAACCAAGAAAAGTGCGTAAAAGTACAGAGGAGCGCCTAAAACAAAGCAGAAGTCGTCCAAGCGTTTACGTCCAATGCTTTTCTCTCTCACTTGCGCTCTCCTCCGCGCTGCCTCTCATTCGGGATACGGCTCTGGAGCGTCTTTGCCGTTTCCAAGCGGCTGTACAAGTCTCTAGTGGACAGGCGAGAGTGTGAGAGGGGGATCCTGGTGCTGGCGGTGCGTCCCTCCCCTGCGCTCTTGATTGGATCCTAAACTTCTACTTGGGCTACTTCTTGTTTCTACTTTAGTCCACATAGGAAAGCCTCCAGTGCGTTGAACCAGCCCACTTTTTTTGTCTTTCAACACAAAAACCTCAAGCAAAAGCAGTCAGTGGCTCTGTCTTTCTTTTTTTCCAAGATACCATGGAACTTTGCGCTGCGCTATAAGGGTAATCCCCCGAATACTTTTCCTCCAATGATGCGCTCTTGAAATTATCACTTTGGGTTGCTTAAGCATCGCCCTGTTACAGTCACGCAACCCTTGAGGCGAGAGATGTCTGTTATGGCAAGTTTTATCACGGCCTTGATACTTGGTTCTGCAGCAAAAATCATAATAGGATTGAAGACACAAGAAGCTCGCGTTTGATGATCAGTGGAGAGTTGTGTAAAGGAAATCCCCTGATATTAGTGTAGCATTGTCTGGAAGAAGATAGAGTCAATATTGAGCGGTGATAAGAGGCTATTTGACTTGAATGCAAATATTTTGCTCTCCCCACCCACATTTAGGGCAGCGGCTGAGGGGGGTCAGGGAGGTAAGGATGCTGCCGTTTCCTTCTCTCCAGGTGGGGGAGATTCACACCACTGTCACATAGACCCCCCATCAACAGACGTGCTAACGAGCTGTATTTCATCACAAATGGCTGTTATATTAGTGTTGAATGTGACGCAAAACACACAAAAACAGCTGCTGCTATGCGTAAAATGATAAAGGCCTATAGGCTGGTTAAACTATGGTTAAAACAGTTGCTTTTACAACTCAATGTCAATATTATACCCAAACCAAGTAGGTGACATATGCCCAGAATTTCAATCTTAGTCATATAAATATAGCCCTATATTGGTTGCCATTGTTTGTATCTTGTTTTATTAAGCACTTTGAGTTGCATTGTGTGTGAACTGTGCCAGACGGATACACTTTCCCTGCCTTGCCATAATGTATATAACTATATGTAATTATTGAGAAGCTACTTTTGCATATGAACTGCATATATTTAGCATTTGAATTGGCCCCACTGTAGGACGAATTAAGGTGCTCTTATATCACCGAATATTAGCAGTCATTTGAATACTTGCAGAAGGGGAAGAAAACTTAAGATTAATAGGTTGAATCAAATAAGATAGTCCATTCATTGTTCAGCAGCTGATTAACCGAACATTTACAAGTACATGACAGGATGAGGACAGCTTTTTCCAAGTGTGAAGGCAGAGACCAGAGCGTCTTTGTCGCACTGTTAGAGCAACAGGGACATCTGGCGTTCACCGGGGATAAAACAAAAGCTATTTACACACGCTTCAAGCTTCCTGCAGCGTTTCCTCTTCTTTTGTGTGTGTGTGTGTCCGTATTGGTTAATGAATTAGAGCAAGATCTACTTTGCGCATGAAAAGTCTGCAGCAGTTGCGCGCGTCCCTCCCGGTGCCATTAGTGAGTGCTCGTGTGTTAAGTGGTGGGGGTTGATTATTTCAGGCAGATTAAAATAGACGCTATTATAGGACAAACTGTGAGAAAGCATCCACTCCCGGGACATGATCATAGACAAAGACTGACCCAGCTACAAGATTCAGAGTGGAAAATGTGTCTCCGCAAGGGACGGTTTTGTTCTGATGAATATAAGCGATAATCCCTATGAGGCGTTTGACACAAAAAAGAGGAAAGGATCAAAGCTTTTACGCTTGCACAAATTAGCAGCCTTTATCTCCTCAGTTACACCCTGTGGTTCACCTGCACGCTCAACACGCTGCCAGTGGAGAGGTACAGCAGAGGGGAGGCCCGGGTTATGTTACATGAAAAACAAATCCACAATGGTTATCTTGTCTATTACATGATGACAAAAAGATCCACCTACATGCATGTATACCCAAGATGTTCTGCAGACCTGGCCTTTACTATAGCACTGTGTTATTGACTAAATTAGGTCAAAGAAGTCCCACTCTCTCCCATATTGAACCACACATCTCTTATACGTAGTCCTTTTATTGGACTTGATGTGTTACTGGAGAAGATAGTTCCCTCCCGCATTTTAGAATTGTATTGATTTTTCTATGACCTTTCAAGCCACTATATTCAACTGTAAGCAATTACTGACACTGAGGTTAGTCATGGTTTACTTCACTTCAGTTCATTTTTGTACAGGCCTAGTTCATAATTGTCTTGGAGGACCTTATAAAGTTGGAGAATCGATCAGAGGAAAAAACAGTTTGAACACAAGATGCAATAATAACAAACGCATAGGAGCCTTTGGTCCATAAGGGGCAGTATGACCAATGTCTATAAATGTTAGTAAATGTGCGTAAATGTCCCGAATCATCAGTGTTCTTAAATCCTTCTGCATTGGCAAGGAATGACAAAAAAAACAGAGAAACCATGGGGAGGTACATATGGAGAGAGGAATCTGCTTCCATGGACGGACACGCTGTAGGTCCAGGGCCAACGCTGTAGGTCCAGGACCGAGGCTGTAGATTCAGGGCCGAGAATGTAGATCCAGGGCAGAGGCTGTAGGTCCAGGACCGAGGCTGTAGTTCCAGGACCGAGGCTGTAGTTCCAGGGCCCAGGCTATAGATCCAGAACTGATGAGGCTCCCAGGCAGAGAGGGGGGTGCATGCAACTCATGGGTCCAAGCCGAGGGGCAACCAGTTCACAGGTGCAGGTTGAAAAGGTCGGGTTAAGAGGTTTCATAATCACACCATGAATCAGACAATGGGACAGTGGGTGAATAGCAATGAACTGACTATAACTGATCAACCGGAAACAGGGGAAGGGGGTGCCAAAGAACCACTACACGAAGCCAATAATTCAAATCAATTCAACATACAGAAGTCATCTCGGAGGGCTTTTAATCTTACTTAAGAAAGAGTGTCGTTGTTACCCAAAGAATATTGTTATAGACATATTGAGGTGTTCATTTGGATTGTATAAATATTATGGTCATGAGCTCTTCTGCACTTTTTACACACCTCCTGCACATGCTGTTGTTGGTCTGGTGTCGGTTTGGCAGTTTTGGGGATTTCAGTGCAAAGTGATGTTACTGTTTGGGTTTCTTTGTTTATTATGTTTTTTAGTTCATTCAAGTCGCGTCTTTCACCATTAAACACATGATTTAATTGGAAATGTAAGGTTTTCAATACTTTTTTTGTTAACACATTTTTAATTGCATTTTAAATGATCAATATTTAGGCAATGTTGACTTTCATCATAATGTCAAGGAAACACGTAAGCATATGTATGGTCTAATTAAACTTTTGGTACTAGAAGAATTTCTCTCTTACCCTGGCTCAGAATAACAAAAAATAACACATACACCATTATCTTTTTCCAAAAACAATAAAACATCAATAATGAAAAAAATATATAATAATGATAACAAATAATAAAAAATAGTGATAAAAAATGTATATATCTTGATTACGTTTTTTAAATTGTTATTATTGGGGAACTGTTTAGACTCCCAGCAGAAGTCTGTTGACGAGTTATTGTTTGTATTTGTTGAGTCATTAAACCAAACACTGTGGTGATTCTATGCACTTGTGATGTCACTGTTTATGAACCATTTGTGTTCATGCATTCAGAGTATGGGTTCAGAGTATGAGTGGAATGAGAGCAGGTGTTTGCTCTGGGACTGGACTCTTTGGCATGTCAGCTATGCAAATCAAACCAGAGTGTAGCATTTTAGGGCGTCAGTGAAAGGGCACGTTTGAGTCATCTGAACTGTCCTGACGCTTGAAAATCCCTGTATCACCTACCACCTATCTACTATGCCCATTTCTCTGAACTTATGCTGTGAATATTACATTACAGCTCCCAAAAATGTCATGTGGCAATTTATGATTTTTTTTAACTGGAAATCTTTGAATTTAGGATTGTTTATATTAAAATCCATCATTAATATTGTGAAATACACCAAATGAGCCATCGTTTAAGTTATAGCTCATTCATAAATATGCCATCAACATTCTAAGGCATGGTTCTCAACTGGCGGGTCAGCACTCAAAAGTCCTGTACAATATTTTTTTGTGGGTCGTAAACCATTCCTGGGAAACATTTAGAAAAAAACTACAGGTAAACTAACTTGAATGTGTGAAAATATGCAGAATTTTGAGAACCACTGCACTGGTCTGTATCTTTTTAGTTTGAATTGATAAGTTATAGGGAAGATAAAACATGACATATTGTGATCTGGTCTGAGTTTTGGAGTCACTTTCAGAGCTGTCCGTATCTCTCACCGACATAACATTTGATATGGAATGATACGTGTCACAATATCCACTCGTCGCATTCATCTTGTTCATGTTTCCTCTTTGTCGCTTCTGTTCGTTCTTTGTGGAGGTGGATCTCAGCAGCCGTGTCATATTTTGCAGCCTCATGTTTTGTGTTTTTGTGTCTTGCTTTCTACTCTCGGCGTTCGCCCGACGGCTCAGTTAATCTTTCAAAACAGAAAGAAGGAAGAACAAAGATGAATGCATGAAAACAAAAAAATGTTACTGTGGGGAAACTAATCCTGGTTGGAAAAAACAACGTGTGGCACATGATGATCCGTTAATGTTAGTGTTTTTTCCCCATTAGCTGCTGGAACATAGTGTGGCCATGCTTCATTGGACTGTACTCCTCAAAGTCACGTCATCACAAGAATAGACAAAAATGAATGTACAAACAAAAAATATGAAACAGTACTATAACAAAAAACACAGTAACCTTATGCATGTATATGTATGTATGTATGTATGTATGTATGTATGTATGTATACATACATACACATACATGTAGCCTATATATATACACACACACACACACATACATACATGCACACCAGTGCATGTATGCACTGGTGTGCACCATGCTTGTAATCTGACTCTTTGCTGGTGGTT